TTTAGCAATAAGGGGCCAAAAGGGGGCCAAAAATAAGCATTTTTCTACTTTCCAGACAATAACTTGTGTTCAAGTGTATGGATCTCTCTGAAATTGTACTGCAAGGTTCCATACCACTAAAGGAACGACTGGGATTGATTTGGGGGGTAATTGTCTCAAAATTTTTTTAGGAATAAGGGGCCAAAAAGGAGCAAAAAACAAGCATTTTTCTAGTTTCCAGACAATAACTTGTAAGTGTATGGATCTTTCTGAAATTGTACTACGAGGTTCCATATCACAAAGGGAAGGCTGGGATTGAGTTTGGGGGTAATTGCCCAAAACGTTTAGGAATAAGGGGCTAAAAGGGGGCCGAAAATAAGCATTTTTCTAGTTTCCAGACAATAACTTGTGTTCAAGTGTATGGATCTCTCTGAAATTATACTGCAAGGTACCATACCACAAAGGGTAGGCTGGGATTGATTTTGGGGGAAATTGCCTCAAAATTTAAGAAATAAGGGGCAAAAAGGGGCAAAAAAACAAGCAATTTTAAACGACCGCAAAAAATTTTGTGGTCGTATATTGGTATGACGTTGGCGTCGTCGTCCGAAGACACATTGGTTTTCGCACTCTTAACTTTAGTTTAAGTAAATGGATCTCTTTGAAATTTTACCATAAGGTTCAATACCACAAAAGGAAGGTGGGGAGGGATTTTGGGGGTTATGGTACCAACAGTTAAGGAATGAGGGGCCAAAAAGGGGCCAAAAATAAGCATTTTTGTAACTTCCAGGCATAACTTGTGTGTTAGTGTATGGATCTCTCTGACATTGTACCACAAGGTTCCATATCACAAAAGGAATGCTAAGATTGATTTTGTGGGTAATTGCCTCCAAATTTTAGGAATTAGGGGCCAAAAAAGGGGCAAAAAACAAGCATTTTTCTAGTTTCATGACAATAATTTGTGTTCAAGTGTTCTAACACACAAGTTATGTCTGGAAGTTACAAAAATGCTTATTTTTGGCCCCTTATTCCTTAACTGTTGGTACCATCGGTAATACAACTAATACAACTGTATACCAAATACCATTGACTTTTCATAAGTCGTTCCCTTTAAAGAAACCTAAACACAAACTTTAACTTGTAAACTAAGCAAAAGTTTCAAAGTCAATAGACCATGACTGAAGGGGTGGGGCCAAATAATCTCCATGGAAATGAGATATGCCAATGTTTATATAACTGCATACCAAATATCATTGACCTACCACTAGTGGTTCCCCATAAACTGATCTATTCACAAACTAATACATGAAAACTAAGCAAAATTTTCAAAGTCAATATACCATGACTGAAGAGGTGGGGCCAAATAATCTCCATGGAAATGAGATATGCCAATGCTTATACAACTGCATACCAAATATCATTGACCTACCACTAGTGGTTCCCCATAAACTGACCTAATCACAAACTAACACAGGACAAGAGTGCACACGCTGAAATGTCTCGCCTTCTTTACTAATCATTGATATTATGTTGATAGTCCTAAATATAAAGCTTTATTACAACTGCCACATAAACTTAACATTAACCAAGTAAACTAAACATTGACCAATGAACCATGAAAATGAGGTCAAGGTCAGATAAACCATGCAAGGCAGGCATGTACAGCTAACAAATCTTCCATACAACAAATATAGTTGACCTATTGCTTATAGTTTAAGAAAAACAGACCAAAACACAAAAACTTAACACTGAGCAATGAACCTTGAAAATGAGGTCAAGGTCAAATAAAACCTGCGTGACTGACATATAGATCATAAAATATTTCCATACACCAAATATAGTTGAACTATTGCATATATAGTATTAGAAAAAAAGACCAAAACTCAAAAACTTAACTTTGACCACTGAACCATGAAAATGAGGTCAAGGTCAGATGACACCTGCCAGCTAGACATGTACACCTTACAATCATTCCATACACCAAATATAGTAGACCTATTGCATACAGTATAAGAAAAACAGACCAAAACACAAAAACTTAACTATATAACCACTGAACCATGAAAATGAGGTCAAGGTCAGATGACACCTGCCAGTTGGACATGTACACCTTACAATCATTCCATACACCAAATATAGTAGACCTATTGCATACAGTATAAGAAAAACAGACCAAAACACAAAAACTTAACTATAACCACTGAACCATGAAAATGAGGTCAAGGTCAGATGACACCTGCCAGTTGGACATGTACACCTTACAGTCCTTCCATACACCGAATATACTAGACCTATTGCTTATAGTATCTGAGATATGGACTTGACCACCAAAACTTAACCTTGTTCACTGATCCATGAAATGAGGTCGAGGTCAAGTGAAAACTGTCTGACGGGCATGAGGACCTTGCAAGGTATGCACATACCAAATATAGTTATCCTATTACTTATAATAAGAGAGAATTTAACATTACAAAAAATCTTAACTTTTTTTTTCAAGTAGTCACTGAACCATGAAAATGAGGTCAAGGACATTGGACATTATACCGACGGAAACTTCGTAACATGAGGCATCCATATACAAAGTATGAAGCATCCAGATCTTCTACCTTCTAAAATATAAAGCTTTTAAGAAGTTAGCTAACGCCGCCGCTGCCGGATCACTATCCCTATGTCGAGCTTTCTGCGACAAAAGTCGCAGGCTCGACAAAAACTAAGCAAAGTTTCAATGTCAATAAACCATGACTGAGGGGGCGGGGCCAAATAATCTCCATGGTAATGAGATGTGCCAATGCTAATTCAACTGTATACCAAATATCATTGACCTACCACTAGTGGTTCACCATAAACTAGACCTAATCACAAACTAATGCATTGTTGACGCTGCTGCCGCCGCCTGAAACAGCATACCTATGTCTTGCTTTTTGACTCCGTCAAGGCGAGACAACTAGCCGCTTTTCGTTCTTCCTAAAAGCCTATTTACGAAGTCTGCCACATATGAATATAGGAACAAGTCGGCAAGAAGAGTAGTTTGAATCAGAAGGTTGTTTTTTTAATACTAGTACGATTTTTTTTTCTCTCCCTAAAACAAGGTATTTGTATTTATACTTTATATTTTATATTTTAGAATTTGTTCACAATAACTCTGAAGCCCGGCTTTGATTGCTGATAAAATTGAACAAGATAACTTTGTTTGTAATGACACTTATGTAATTTAGGTATCCAATACAGTTCAGGAAGATCCAGTTCTTCATCTTTGGTTGAAATTCAAAGGAACATAGGACAGACCTATGATTATTCAGGTTTTCTCTTTGATGTTGAGTGTCCAAGTGAATTGTCAATACCCAATTCCTTTAACAAGCAGTTTATGAAATGTGATTTACACACGAACACAATGTTGTTTGGGGCTTTATCTGCTGGACAACATATCTGACAAAAGAGCTTGGACAGGTGATTAAGAACATTTGGGTTTTCAAATATACATGTAGATGTAGCCTGTGTATTCTTAGACCATTCAGTTTTTTAATTTTAATTTGTATTAATGACCTCACAGCCATAACCCACTAGGAAAGAGTATCTAGGTCTTCTTTTTAGCGTTAAGCCTTTTACCGGGCATAATTCTCTAATTAATCCATCAGCATAATTTTGCAGTTTTGTTTTCAATTGATGGATTCAGGCTCACAATATTTTGGGCCTTTAGATAACAGATCTTGCAGAGACTTGTTATTGACGATGTTGAGGAGGATGCTTTACAAATTTCTTCAAAAATAACTTTAATAAAATGCTTCGCTGAGCGCAGCCTGATACGACCGCAGAGGTCGAACCCTGAACAGTTGGGGCAAATTTGGACACAATATTCAAGCTTGATACTGTCTGAATTTGGATTGTGATCAAATTTTTGACATAATATAGGTTTTATGACACAAAATAAATTTGGTCAAAGATCTTATAAATCCATTGCGCAATACTGTGCAATTGAAGATTTCTTCTTGAAACTTTTCAAAAATTCAAAATTAAAAAGATTTTGAAAAAAAAATATGAATCCCTTAAAAAAATTGGGAAAAAATCACACCCCCCCCCCCAACTTTTTGAAACCCCCCTTGGAGCAATAACCCCAAAACTCAATCCCAGCCTTTCCTTTGTGGTATGGAACCTTGTAGTACAATTTCAGAGAGATCCATACACTTACACACAAGTTATTGTCTGGAAACTAGAAAAATGCTCGTTTTTGGCCCCTAATTCCTACATGTTAGCTATATATAGGGGCAATTACCCCCAAACTCAATCCCAGCCTTCCCTATGTTATATGGAACCTTGTGGTACAATTTCAGAGAGATCCATACACTTACACACAAGTTATTGTCTGGAAACTAGAAAAATGCTTGTTTTTGGCCCTTAATTCCAACTGTTGGCCCCATAACCCCTAAAATGAATCCCAACCTTCTACTTGTGGTATTAAACATTGTGGTACAATTTCAGAGCAATGGAAATACTTATACACAAGTTATTATCCTGAAACTAGAAAAATGCTTGTTTTGGGCCCCTTTTTTGGCCCCCCTAATTCCTAAACGGTTGGGACCATCATCCCTAAAATCAATCCCAACCTTCCTTTTGTTGTATTGAACCTTCTTAAAAAATTTCATAGAGATCCATTCACTTAAACTATAGTTATTGTCCGGAAATCAATGTGTCTTCGGACGACGATGACGACGACATCATACCATTATATGATCCCAAAAAATTTTTTGCGGTAGTATAAAAAGAAGGGTTACTGATGTGTTGCTCTTAATTGGAGTCGATACAGTCTCAGGGGAGATAACTGTTAATTCAATAATGAACATTCAATGTCTCGTTACTGGTTTTCTTTATGAAGAAATAACAGAATCTTATCAAAGGATTACAAATTTGAAATATAGCAAAATTATCGAAAAAAATTTGTCAGAGTTCCTATCTATATTTGCACTGCATTTTGAATTTGGTGAGAGACAAAATACAAGGCAACAGGAAAATTAAAGCATGGAAATGTATACATTTGATGTATTTATTTCAAAATGCACAACGAAAGCCAACTCATATAAAAATACTAAAAAAATAACAATACAAGAACATTGTGAACTGCTCAATTAAGGTTGCCAAATTTACCATTTTTATTATGTTATAAGAAATTCAATCAAAACAATACTTTGGATATGTTAGTTTAAATTTCCCTAATGCTCTTATAATAAAACCAAATAAGCTATGATATTGCCAAGGATAATTATAAATTGGTCATACAATTTTAATAAAATTACAAAAATACCAAATTCAGACGATAACTTTTCATGGAAACAAAGAACAATAATCTATGTTATATTTCTGGATATTTTCAAAGATTTCAAAAAAAGAAAATAAATAGCAATACAATAAAACTGTATCGACTCCCCTAAAGTTGCATGCATGCACTTCTATGTGTATGCTTATCTAAATGTTCCATAAACATATCTGAAGTCTTTTTTTGGAGGGGGTTGACATAAATTTTACAATGAGTCACTGAATAATATAGAAGTATGATTTGACTGCATGTGCATACAGCAGTGTATTACAAACATAGGTCATTTTTACATTTAGGTTTTATGGTAAACAAAAGCTTCAAAGGAGAGGTATGATAAGAGCTATTATCTGGCCCCTGACATGGCAAAAATGGTAAAATCATTCAATATGAAAATACGAGATGTGGTATGATTGCCTATTAGATAACTATACACCTGAGTCCAAATGATGTGGATGTAAATACCTATACACTATAACCATGATAACATGGTATGGTCCTCAAAAACTCTTTACAACCATTTAAAACTATGTTCATTTTATTGATAAATGAATAGATTAATATAATCTTGACAATTTAGTGCAGAAAGGTCAATTGTGATGTCATTTTCATGTCAAAATTGACTAAATAGACCATTTAATACATAGTTTTGGGACAAAATAAATATGAGGGAACATCCAAAAAGATATTTTACACACATTTTTCCATCTTTGCCAAATAAATTACTTTTTGTTAGAAGCCATAGTTAATATCTAAAAATAACATTACAAAGAAGTTTCGTATGATTCTGGAATTTTGATTGGACGAGGCATTCAAAAAGTTATATTCTATAGAATGCAACATCTATGACTGCACATGTTATCTGTGATGTCAAAACAATGCATATAAAAAACAAATGAAAAAGCTTGATTTGTCTATTATTTCATAGTTGTAGCATGAAAATAAGAATTGAATGCTTCTGTTTGTAATTTATAGGGTTGTACAAGCGTTGAAAGTGAACACATTTTAAGTATAAAGCCCTTCCATGCTTCATACAAAATGTGCCTTGGTCAACGCTTTTGAGCCCCAATAAAATTACAATTAGAAGCATTCAATTCTTAATTGTTAATGACATTATCTTAAAATTATGCTATTTTGGCAATTTTTGCAGTTATACACTGAACGCAAATAGATTGAAGCCTTGATGTTAATATGCAAGACAAAATTAAAAAATATAAATACTGATATCTGCAAGACTTATGTCTTTAATATGAACATCTGAAGGACGTCATTTGGTAGCTTTATAATACTTTTTGATTTATACCTTCTCCTTTGTGTTCGTTTTCTTGGAACAAGATACCTTTCAAAATGTTACATAAAACATTTCCAGAATTATGATATCTGTATAATAGATTTACAACATTCATAAACTGAGATTACTTTTTAATCACTTTATAAGATATCATAATAAGCAAAAGAATTCTGGTCTGCATGGTTCAAAATAAGTAGTCTACTGTATCATCTTAACATACTCACTTTCTAGATTCTTATTTCTCATCAGATAAAATAAGTAGGCAGTTTATAATAAAAAATGATGAAACCCTTAGCATTTACTTACCGTAGAAAGGCTTGAAAGTTCGCAGTGGTACATAGTCCGCACCCCCTTCTCCCCACAAAATTTTAGGTAAAAAAACTTTTTGTAACTGTTAGAAAAGGTCTAATGAAACTCCGGTAATTTCAAATCCTGTGTGGTCTTTTGCGGTATTTTCTTGGAAAACCCTGTTTTCCATCATCAAACAGAAGCCGAAACTGCTTGTAAATGATTCTAGAACGCTTCATGATTATTAAAATAAGTTTAATTCACTTAAAAAAGGAAGTTTAAAAAGCACATGTAGAAGAAGAAATTAACCGGTGAGAGTCGAAATCCGTACATAACAGATATCACTATAATACGACTTTGAAAGTAAAACAGTTCCATCCTTTTGTAAAACAGTCTTTAATATATCTATCACATTAATGTTTGAAGGGTCTTAAGCTAATACAAACCATATTAGTCAGTATGAAACACCAAAACGGAACGAACAATGACCGATTACGTTTTGTAGTTTACAAATTCTAAGCTGGTTTACGGTTGTCTTTTTCACTATGTTTGTATCGTTTCAATCAAGCAGATACCAGTTTATTTCAACCAATGCATTGAAAAGAAACAAGAAATTTGTAATGAAAGGTTTAGTTTTTATATTTATCAGTATTAATTTGATATTGAATAGAAATAACTTATTAATATGGATGAGTTAAAATTATTAGTTTGAAAAATGATAAGAGCGCCCTCTACAATATAAATAACAAAGATGGCAGAACGTAAACAAACCACCTCGCCCGCGAAATTGAAATTTTTCTCTTATTTCTTACTTATTGTACTCTATAGTCCGCACCCCGTCTGGAAGGTCCAATTTTGGAGAATAAAACCGCGGACTATACAAGCCTTTCTACGGTAGCTGTTAACATAGCGCTAGTTATCCATGAATATTTCTACAATGCGTTCCTTTAAAGAATATAGTGGATTTCTTTATCATATTCTTTACATTAACTTTGTACAGGCAAATGATTCAAGTTTCAACAATAAAACAAGAATCTCACTAGGAAGCCAGTGAGGGATGAGGTGCACTGCATGATTTCTTAGGGGATACATCATGCATTCAAAGTTTGGACTAGAGGCATAATTTAATTACACCAAAATGTATTTAGAAATTATTTATTTGATTAATTTTAGGGACATCATATGTACTGTTTAGAGCAATTTCCAGTTATGCTATAGGTTATCCTTTCTACAAAATTTTGCTCTAATCTATGCATTGCATAAAATATTGTCATAGAAAGAGTGAGAATTCTTTAGATATGCTTGAAGATGCATTCAAGCCCATGTTACTTTATCTGTTTATATTTTGACTACGAAACTCAAAATTTGTGAATAATACAGCCAATATATACAATTATGCAGATCTATAAATAAATTGAATACCTATTCTTAGGGACTTCTAACACTGTACCCTGTGACATATAGAATAGCTTGACATTTAACAGTTGAAAACGATTTTAAATTTAACTGCTGAATAAATACATAATACCATTGTTGGATAACAGAGTTAGTCAACATCAGAACTGAATGACAGGAAAGTTATAATAATTGCATTAATGTATATATTGTTTAATACTCTTCCTCTTCTCCATTATCCACCAACACTTCATCTTCTGGTGGTGCAAATCCATCCTGTAAACAGAAAACAAAACTGGCACTGTAATTTACTCTTCCCATTAACTTAAAACCTGGCCAATAAAACATGAAAAACCCATGTTACTACTTGATAGATTGCTATATGAACTATAACTGGAAACAAAAAGGTCTGGGAATCCTCCAGAAAATTTAGCAAAGTTTGAATTCTATAATTTGTTAGATCTTTTTCAAGGCCAGGATACTATCTCATATCCAAGGATATGTTTCCATTATTTTGTTGAAAAATAAATGGGGAATGTGTCCATGGGACACAGATGATGCCCTCGCTTGCATATAACGTTATAAAGGGACATAACTTAAGATAAATGTGACGCTACCCAAATTCGTACTTGGTCTGAGTTTTGTGGTAATAAGCATTGTGTATAAGTTTCATAACATTTGGTTGAGGCAAACTTTAAGAAAACGGAAACGAAAAATTCAGCATTTTTTACATTTGTAAAGGGCATAACTCTAGAACGGTAAAAGTGATGCCACCAAAATTCAAATTCGATCTGTGTTTTGTGGTAATTAGCATTGTGTATAAGTTTCATAACATTTGGTTGAGGCAAACCAAAGTTAGAGAACGCAAACCAATTTCGGGACATAAAAACGTACGGACGGACAAGGGTAAAACTAAATACCCCCTCCACTACGACGCGGGCATAAAAAGTATTTGTCTCAAATGTCTGCACTATAGACCACACCAAAGCATTTTGCCTCAAGGTATAAAGTCGGCACTGTTTAATGCAACCTAATATCATTCCTTGGGAAAACTTGCAAGCTCCTCAATACTACCTCTGCTTATTTTAGCAAGGATATGGTTTCCACTATCCCCATAACAACGTCAAATAGCTATATTACATGAAATGAAGCCACTTCATGCATGAAATTTTGGATCATTATAATAAAAAGTTCAGACCATATATAATATATAAATATAAATAAATTAACCCCTTTTAAACTATGGAACACTGTTGGAAACAAATAGGTGCAAGTCGCTTCTCAGACCCAAAACACCTGGAGGGTAAAGGTTAAAACTATCAATTCAAATAACCTCTTCAATATTTTCCCCCCTGTAACATTTATATCATAAAATTACCTTCAAATTGACCTCCTTAAAGTGACTTTTTGTGAAATGAGCTATGGAATTTGATTGACTAATCCAGATAGTAAGCAAATCAAAATACAGGTTTTAAATACAGACAATTAAAACAAGGGAAAATACTGAGATGCATGTAAATGTAAATAGTTTCTCCATTAATGATTTACTTGATAGTATTATAACTATTTTGTAAAACAAAAGTTGCCTTATTATACCTTCTCTATCATATATGTCAATAATAAAAAAAAACAGTATTTATTAAGACATGTTTTAGTCTTTGTTTGCAAAAGATTTCCATCTTTTCTGAATTATGGTTCATTTAAGTTGAGTTTAAAACTACTTACTTCAGTTTGATAAAGAATGTCACAGACGCTTTTCAGAGCAGGCAAATTTTCTTGTTCGTATTCTTGGCAAGTAATTTCAATATCACGTAACTTTCCAAAGTAAAAGTCTCTTTCTTTCTCCAATCCTTCTATTGTTAATCTCATTTCGTTCAACTGAAAAAAAATACAACACTTAAAGTATAGTTAGATAAAGGATTCAAAACCAAAATCATTCTGATATATAATACTAGAACACACCCGCGACATCGCTGGTCAGTGACTGAATTTAAGTACCTATGCCTTATTTTTACCCTGGATTTTAAGTATTTGTATTGTCATCTGAAACAAGAGTGCACACGCTAAAATGTCTCACCTTCTTTACTAATCATTGATATTATGTTGATAGTCCTATATATAAAGCTTTATTACAACTGTCACATAAACTTAACATTAACCAAGAAAACTAAACATTGACCAATGAACCATGAAAATGAGGTCAAGGTCAGATGAACCTTGCCAGGCAGACATGTACAGTTAACAATTCTTCCATTTAACAAACATAGTTGACCTATTGCTTATAGTTTAAGAAAAACAGACCAAAACACAAAAACTTAACACTGAGCAATGAACCATGAAAATGAGGTCAAGGTCATATTAAACCTGCGCGACTGACATATAGATCATAAAATATTTCCATACACCAAATATAGTTGACCTATTGCATATAGTATTAGAAAAAAAGACCAAAACTCAAAAACTTAACTTTGACCACTGAACCATGAAAACCAGGTCAAGATCAGATGACACCTTCCAGCTAGACATGTACACCTTACAATCATTCCATACACCAAATATAGTAGACCTATTGCATACAGTATAAGAAAAACAGACCAAAACACAAAAACTTAACTATAACCACTGAACCATGAAAATGAGGTCAAGGTCAGATGACACCTGCCAGTTGGAAATGTACACCTTACAGTCCTTCCATACACCGAATATACTAGACCTATTGCTTATAGTATCTGAGATATGGACTTGACCACCAAAACTTAATCTTGTTCACTGATCCATAAAATGAGGTCGGGGTCAAGTGAAAACTGTCTGACGGGCATGAGGACCTTGCAAGGTACGCACATACCAAATATAGTTATCCTACTACTTATAATAAGAGAGAATTTAACATTACAAAAAATCTTAACTTTTTTTTTCAAGTAGTCACTGAACCATGAAAATGAGGTCAAGGACATTGGACATTATACTGACGGAAACTTCGTAACATGAGGCATCCATAAACAAAGTATGAAGCATCCAGGTCTTCCACCTTCTAAAATATAAAAGCTTTTAAGAAGTTAGCTAACGTCGCCGCCGAAGCCGCCGGATCAATATCCCTATGTCGAGCTTTCTGCGACAAAAGTCGCAGGCTCGACAAAAATGCTGATTATAAGGTGCACAGTCTTCTCTGCTTTCAAAATCTTTGTGTTTGAACCCGTCCTGGTTTTCTTACTACAACAGGAAACTACATGTGACTTATACTATTGGTATCGGTATGAAATCAGGAATTCTGTTTTCAAAAATTGGTCAAAATATTGAATATTTATATGAAGGGTCTAACTGTGGAATCATGATTCCACTTTTAAGAATTAAATGAAAAACAGTAATCCCATCCAGTAGTTTATGGTTATATACATACTGATAGTTATATAATTGTTGTTTAATCTCTACATCTTGTATTTTTTATGGATATTGATATCGATTTGCCTTTTAACCATTTTTAAATTGCTATTTCTTCTTTTTTTTATTTGTTTTAAAAAAAAATGTGTCAAAGTCTCAAATGGCTGGGTTGCAATATTTGTGACTAACGTTTTCTTTTACATCTACCATTCTATAATTTTTATACTATAACTTCTACAATTAAAGATCACATGCACACTACACTTTTATTTTTTTATTAAATTTGTTTCTTTGCTTCAATTACCAATACAATGATTTTTCACTTTCCTTAAAACTTTTTACCTGTTGTTTCAATTCTTCTACTTTTCCACTATCCCCAGCACCTCCAACTGAATTATTGTTTACGGTTCTTTGTGTTGTTGGTTTGAGCTGTGATGGACTTTTTGTGTTAGATGCTGCACGAACTATAAAAAATAAAAATATATATCACATCTGAAGACAACCTTGTTTTTTTATATCATAATACAAGTAACAATAAATAAATGCTTCGCTGAGCGCAGCCTGATACGACCGCAGAGGTCGAACCCTGAACAGTTGGGGCAAATTTGGACACAATATTCAAACTTGATACTGTCTGAATTTGGATTGTGATCAAATTTTTGACATAATATAGGTTTATGACGCAAAATAAATGTGGTCAAAGATCTTATAAATCCATTGTGCAATACTGTGCAATTGAAGATTTCTTCTTGAAACTTTTCAAAAATTCAAAATTTTTAAATTTAAAAAAAAAAAATGAATCCCTTAAAAAAATTGGGAAACCCCCCCCCCCCTTGGAGCAATAACCCCAAAACTCAATCCCAGCCTTTCCTTTGTAGTATAGAACCTTGTAGTACAATTTCATAAAGATCCATACACCTACACACAAGTTATTGTCTGGAAACTAGAAAAATGCTTGTTTTTGGCCCTTTTTTGGCCCCTAATTCCTACATGTTTGGGGCCATTAACCCCAAACTCAATCAAAACCTTCCATTTGTTATATGGAACCTTGTGGTACAATGTCAGTGAGATCCATACAATTACACACAAGTTATTGTCTGGAAACTAGAAAAATGCTTGTTTTTGGCCCCTTTTTGGCCCTTAATTCCTAAACTGTTGGCCACCATAACCCCTAAAATGAATCCCAACCTTCTACTTGTGGTACATGTATTAAACATTGTGGTACAATTTCAGAGCAATCGAAATACTTATACACACTTTATTATCCTGAAACTAGAAAAATGCTTGTTTTTGGGCCCCAAATTCCTAAACGGTTGGGACCATCATCCCCAAAATCAATCCCAACCTTCCTTTTGTGGTATTGAACCTTCTTAACAAATTTCATAGAGATCCATTCACTTAAACTAAAGTTATTGTCCGGAAACCAATGTGTCTTCGGACGACGACGACATCATATCATTATACGATCCCAAAAATTTGTTCGCGGTCGTATAAAAAATACACCTGTTAATTGTTTAAAACTGTGTGTTGCCCTTTAAATGTCTTTTAGTTATTTTAATGTTGGGTTGCTGTTCCATTGACATTTTCCCTACATTTTTTATTCATTTTCGATAACAGAAATTCAGAAACACTTAACAGAAGCACCATTGTCAATAAGCCATTTCATTTCCTAGTGAGTCATATCTATTAAAATTAATCACTTGTCAAATATTTTCTGTAGAACAGTATATATAAGGTGTACAGTCTTTATAGCAGTTTACAATAGGGTTAAGAATTATCATTTTCTCCTTAAAATTAATCACTTGTCAAATATTTTCTGTAGAACAGTATATATAAGGTGTACAGTCTTTATAGCAGTTTACAATAGGGTTAAGAATTATCATTTTCTCTTTAAAATTAATCACTTGTCAAATATTTTCTGTAGAACAGTATATATAAGGTGTACAGTCTTTATAGCAGTTTACAATAGGGTTAAGAATTATCATTTTCTCTTTAAAATTAATCACTTGTCAAATATTTTCTGTAGAACAGTATATATAAGGTGTACATTCTTTATAGCAGTTTACAATAGGGTTAAGAATTATCATTTTCTCTTTAAAATTAATCACTTGTCAAATATTTTCTGTAGAACAGTATATATAAAGTGTACAGTCTTTATAGCAGTTTACAATAGGGTTAAGAATAGACATGTTCTCTTTTTCCACAAAACATAACAAGTAAATATGCTTATAGATCATGAACATTTCAGTATAAATTACAAGCAATATTAATCTTTTGATTATATGTGAAACCGGCTGTGAGGTTGCAGCTTAAATGCAAATCACAGGCGATTGGTCCAGCAATAATCTATTTATACTACAATTCAGACAAGTCAGTTTTAAAGAAGGAACTTTGGTACTTTCAAATCGCCTCAGACTACACGAATGAATTTTATTTTTACAGGACATTCGGTCTGGTAAACAACCTTGCTTTACCAGACCGAATGAAATTTTACCTGACCAATTTTTTTACATCTAATTGTATATTATCCGACAAAATACAACAATCTTATGACTTGTTGTGCCCTACTCTTCTCCAAAATGCACAAAAACAAAATCATGTGACAAGAGTGTATACATGTATTTTGATGAAAGTTGTGCACAATTGCTTGAATGCATTTCAGTGATAAAGAAAAGTAATGTCACATTTTATTGGATTTTGACATGAAAATTATTTGTGAACTAAAAATTTTGAGTTTCTGTATAAAATATTTCCTGTATCTTCTTTCATTTTCATATATCTTTTGGTTTTCAATTCTAGTGTTTATATTTCATAGCTGTATTTTGTGAACCTGCTTGGATTTTTTTTTTATGTTTATATTGTATTTGATCGGCAAACCCGGAAATTGACCTTATCCGTTCCGGAATCTGATCCAGTATTGTTTATATTTCCGGTTGATGGCAGCCATTGTTGTTTTTGTCAGTCAGATATGTTTTTACTCAGATTTACACATTACTTGTATGCGATTTTCGGCATAAAGCTAGCGGTTGAACAAAATAAACATCGCTGTCATGAATAATAAAGATGAGAATGAATTTTGAGATCGTTTGGGAATTTTGCCCGCAAAATTGGGAAAAATTCGTAAGGGTTCCGCGGAACCCAGTGTCTCGCCTACTTTTGCTGTTAATCGCAGGCTCAACAAAAATGAGGAAAAAAATCAATAAAAATATTCCTTTAGATACTATCTTTTGATTGTAAGAAGCTTCTGTCAAAGTTTGGTATAAATCCAGGATAGTTTATGAATCTAATAAATGTTTTAAAAACTTTAACTGCAGACTGTATTTAATGTTAACTGGAAGAAAAACTAAGTCCATTTATAAGTAAAATACAGATAAACAGGTACAAATTTTAACAAAGTTTCCTTCTAGATACTAGCTTTTGATCATAAACAAGCTTCTGTCCAAATTTGGTACAAATCCAGGATAGTTTAAAAAAGTTATTAAAATTTTAAAAACTTTAACCACAGAGTGAATGTATTGTTTCCTGGCAGAAAAACTACGGTAAGTCCATTTATAAGTAAAATACGGAAAAAATGAAATTTTTTTTTTAACAAATTTACTTCTGGATACTATCTTATGATCATAAACAAGCTTCTGTCCAAGTTTGGTACAAATCCAGGATAGTTTAAGAAAGTTATTAAAATTTTAAAAACTTTAACCACAGAGTGAATGTATTGTTTCCTGGCAGAAAAACTAAGTCCATTTATAAGTAAAATACGGAAAAAATGAAAATTTTTTTTTAACAAATTTACTTCTGGATACTATCTTATGATCATAAACAAGCTTCTGTCCAAGTTTGGTACAAATCCAGGATAGTTTAAGAAAGTTATTAAAATTTTAAAAACTTTAACCACAGAGTGAATGTAATGTTTCCTGGCAGAAAAACTAAGTCCATTTACAAGTAAAATACGGAAAAACAGGAATTTTATTTTTACAAAATTTACTTCTGGATACTATCTTATGATCATAAACAAGCTTCTGTCCAAGTTTGGTAGAAATCCAGGATAGTTTAAGAAAGTTATTAAAATTTCAAAAACTTTAACCACAGAGTGAATATTTGTGGACGCCGCCGACGACGACGACGGAATGTAGGATCGCTATGTCTCGCTTTTTCGACTAAAGTCGAAGGCTCGACAAAAATGTAGGGTTTTTAAAAAAATCCACGAAAAAAACAACACCGGACATTCGGACCGGAATTCAACAAAATTTTACCAGACCGATCCATTATTCACCGGATTTGTCCGACGGTCCGACGTATTTCGTGTAGTCTGCCCCTTTTCTTGTCACAGTTGTGTAAGCTCCAAGTCATTAATTGTTAGGTCAAACAATCATCAACAAGCTTCCATCAAATTAATAAAATGCTCCGCTGGGCGCAGCTTGATACGACTGCAGAGGTCGAACCCTGAACAGTTGGGGCAAGTATGGACACAACATTCAAGCTTGATACAGCTCTGAATTTGGGTTGTGATTAAATATTTGACACAGCATAGGTTTCTGACACAGAATGAATGTGGTCTAAGAACTTAAAAATTTTTAGTTTACCTATTATTGTCCAATATCCAAAATCTTAATACATACACAGTTAGATTCAGCATATCAAAGAACCCCAAAAATTCAAGATTTTTTGTTAAAATCAAACTAAGTTTAATTTTGGACCCTTTGGACTTTAATGTAGACCAATTTGAAAACGGGACCAAAAATTAAGAATCTAAATACACGGTTAGATTCAGCATATCAAAGAACCCCAATATTTCAATTTTGATGAAATCAAACCATATCATTATTATTTGCTTTTATATATAAATAAAAAATAACCAACTTAAAATGGAAAATTTAAAGAAAAAAAAAAAAAAAAAGGAAAAAAAGGAAAAAAAATCCTCGCCCCCAATTTTTTGAACCCCCTTATGATTCATCACCCCAAACTCAATCCCAGCCTTTCGTTTGTGGTACGGTTCCTTGCAGTACAATTTCAGAGAGATTCATACACTTGAACACAAGTTATTGTCCTGAAACTAGAAAAATGCTTGTTTTTTGCCCCTTTTTGGCCCCTAATAACTAAAATTTTGAGGCAATTACCCCCAAAATCAATCCCAGCCTTCCCTTTGTGGTATGGTACCTTGCAGTACAATTTCAGAGAGATCCATACACTTGAACACAAGTTATTGTCTGGAAACTAGAAAAATGCTTATTTTTGGCCCCTTATTCCTAAACGTTTTGGGCAATTACCCCAAACTCAATTCCAGTTTTCCCTTTGTGATATGGAACCTTGTAGTACAATTTTATAAAGATCCATACACTTACACACAAGTCATTGAAATGAAACTAGAAAAATGCTTGTTTTTTGCCCCTTTTTTGGCCCCTAATTCCTAAAATTTTGAGACAATTACCCCCAAAATCAATCCCAGCATTCCCTTTGTGTTATGGAACCTTGTGGTACAATGTCAGAGAGATCCATACACTAACACACAAGTTATTGTCTGGAAGTTACAAAAATGCTTATTTTTGGCCCCTAATTCCTTGACTGTTGGTACCATAACCCCAGAAATCAATCCCAACCTTTCTTTTGTGGTATTGAACTATATGGTAAAATTTCATAGAGATCCATTCACTTAAACTAAAGTTATTGTGCTAAAACCAATGTGTCTTCGGACGACGACGACGCCAACGTCATACCAATATAAAACCGAAAATTTTTTTGCGGTCATATAAAAATTATTAAGATTTATTCAAGATTTAAATATACTTATACAACTTTACAGTATGGGTTTTTCTCATTGTTGAAGGCTGTACGGTTGCCGATAATTGCTTACATCCACTTCATTTGAACTTTGGTGGATAGTTGTCTCATTGGCCACATCTCCTTATTTTTATATAATAGATGAAATGTTGAATTCAAAAGGTATAGAAGATACTTCTGATGCAATAAATTTTACATATACATTTAAACAGTAGGACTTAAATACCTGGCTGTCTTTGAGGTGGTGGTTTCTTGACTGCCGGTGACACTCTATTTGTTGGTTTAGTTTGTGCTCCTACTTGCTGTCCATCACGAGCTGCTACAGCATCATACTCATTTCCTTGATAGTTGGCATCAAAAAAACGTTTAAACCACTGCACAAATTCAAAATTATCTTGAAATCGTCCTTTTACTAATCTGTCCACTGGTATTACCTGTTCAATTATATATTTATGTGTATTTTAAAATCAGCTTGAATAATCATATTTATTCTTCACAACTCAATCATGTTACTATAGGAATTAAGTTTAAAATGATACACAAGCTATCCAACAGTTTTATCTAAAATAGCTGTTCTGAACATTGAGTTACATCCAAAGCCCATCTGTCACTACATGTGAATAAAACATAAAGCACAGTGCTGGGAAACTGGAGAAACTAATTTCTTCCATGGTGACTCATTTGTAGTTCTTATTGTTCTGGTCGTTTTCAATGTTTGACATTTCTCCTTATCTATTATAGTTTTTTGGAAATTAACCTAAAACCGAAATTTGTTAAAAAATTTACATTTCATTGGCAATATCTCTAAAATTGGTTTTCTGATTTTTCAAAAAATTTCATAGGAGATAGATCTTGACCTGCTGATTATTTTTAACGCCAGTTTTGCTCTTACTAGTTTAATTTGGTTGTTGACATATAATCAAAAACTGCATGTTACAACCTATGGCTATTTTTAACAACAGCAACCATGATTCTTGATGGATCAAATCCCTTGATACATTTTAAAACTAGATTCCATATGGAACATTTAGGTAAAGTTTGGTACCAATTAGCCAAGTAGTTTTATGCCAGGTGAGCTATAAGGTAAATTATAGACTCAAAACCCATTCAAAAATGGCAGTTTAAGGCTATTACTCCTTCTGGGTCATCCAATTGTTTCTGTTATATTGTAAATTTGTCTATCTTGTACTGCTATTCAGTTTTGCATTTAAAAATGTCTACCAATACAGATTCGAGTCAATAAGCAAAATATGAAAATTAGCTTAAAATTGCCTTTAAGGGCAATAACTCATGATAATTTTGTGAAAACAGGAAGTAGCTAGAAATTAATATTCTGAGCATTTTTGCCCCATCAGATTTTCTTTATCTACTCTAGTTTTCAAGATATAATACAATTAATGCATTTTACCCTAATGTTCTATTTTAGCCATGGAGGCCATGTTTGTTAATTGACCGGGAAAAATAACAAACACTTTATACTAGATACCCTAAGGATCATTCACACCCAGTTTGGTTGAAATTGCGCAGTAGTTTCAGGAAAGATTTTTTTCTTAAAGTTTACGACTACAGACGCCAAGTGATGGGAATAGCTTACAGGAAAGTTCTTCAAGCCTTTCAAAATTATGTTTATTTCATTGATAAGTGAATAGGATATTAACTGGACACTTCAGTACAGAAATGTCAGTTATGCTGTCACAATGACATCATAAACATTTTGAAATTGAAATATTTTATCTAAAAATGTCATGATACATATAATTTTCAAAATGAGGTGCATTCTTGTCCATAAAAAATATTTTACCCACATCAATATTTTTGTATTGGACATCTTGTAGTCAAATATCTTTTTGGGGAAGTATCATCTAACGTCTATTATAAAGATCTCATATTGGCCATATTTATTAAATGAAATAAAGTTTAAACCCTAAAAGAAATATGTAGAAAAAAATATATATATATGTAAACATCTGAAAGATGTTATTTGACAGCTTATAATACTTTTTGGTTTTTTTAATTCAAAGGGCCCAAAAGTGGCTTTTATTATTAAATCCCCCTTTTACTTGCATTGTTGTAACTGTAGTTGGGGGTTGTCTTACCTTGTCTGTTTGTGATTTCTTGAAAGCATTTTGTAGCAATTTGAAATTCTGTATGTACTCATGTTCTAATTTGGTGTTGAATTTAACTTTTTTCAATTGAACAGTACCTGAAAGAACCAAAAAGACATGTAATATGTTAGTAAAAATGCATATTATTCAATAACACTGTTTACCAAATATTAGCCACAGTTTATATATCTGCTTTTTTTGTTGCCCTGAAATGTAACGAATTTGTCCCAAAAATTACTGAGACTTGCAATTCATTAAAAATTCCAACTCCAATTTGTTTCATCAATGTTGAACTGGTCAGAAATTTAACCAAACAGGTATTGAAGAATCAGTCAATGTTAGTAATGAACTAGAGAGGTGATCTAGTGATCACAGATACCCCACATACAGCAACTGATAAATGATTTTGTTTCTGTGGTAGCATATTGTGAAATTTTATAAGATGTTGTAATATCTTTGTCATTGTTGAAAGGCAATGTATATGTATAAAATTTGTCTGTATGCCCTCAAATATTCTTTGGTGTCATTTAGTGCAATTCTTTATAAATATGATGAAAATTTGGAGTGCAAGTATGATCATAGACACAGACCTTACTTGAATTTTGTCATTTCTTTAATTAGTCCACTGCTATCTAAATCATGTAAATGCTGATGTTAAGTCAAACAAACAAAACAAATTAATTTTTTTTCAATTTTTAAAGGAATGAAAAGTTAATTCAGATATTAAAGGGGTATAACTCTTGACTATTTTTTTTTAGTTTTGGGAAAAATGCTTCTGTTTGGTGATTAAAAAGTTGTTTATTTATCATCCAGAAACAACAAAGTTCTGAATTTTTCCAACAATCAAGAACAATAACTCAGGATTGGTAAAAGTGAAAAAGATGAAAATTAAATTTAATCTGTGTTGAGTGGTCCAAAATATTCCATTAAAATTTCAATTAATTTTATAAAAGGGCTCTTAACTTATTTTCAAGAAACCACAAAATGTGTAATTTATCCAATAATCATGTACCACAACTCTGGAACTGTAAAGGCAAAAATGACAAAATTCAAGCTTTACCTGTCTTAAGAGGTTCAACACAATCAATTAAAATTTCAATCAATTTGAAAAAAAAGTTCTCCATAAGTGTGACAAGTGGACAGACGTAATGATTCCTAGGAAAATAAGTCCATAGCTAGTAAAATATGTATGGCACTTATTTTCCTAGGAAATTTTTATATATTTTATATATTATATCTGTATTCTCATTTTAGTTCTATGAAAAAAGTCCCTTTAAAATTTCATTTCTTAAGAAATTCTTTAAATTAATCAATATTGAAATTAAGAAAGGAACATTTGTAATTATGTACATCATAGAAGTCTGTGATATCAATTTTCCTAGGAAAAACATTTGTTTAAGTTTTAAAAAAACTCCAATATGTTAATAAAATAGTGAAATATTAGTGCACAATTTTTAAACAACATTAAAACATAAGAATTAATATTCCATTGTTCACATGTAAATGATTTCTTTCATCACAAATTTTCTTTTTGAAATAAAGGACATGGACATTTTTACCTAGTAATATTAGTGACTTGGACATGAATTCCTAGGAAAAATAAGTCTGGGCTCATAAATTTTATTAAAAGATTAATGCACACAACTGTTAACAACATTAAAACATAATTAAAAATTCCATTGTTTACATGTAAATGATTACTTTCATTACACATTTTCCTATTAAAAGAAAGGACATGAACGTTTTTACCTAAGAATATTGATAGCATGGACATGAATTCCTAGGAAAATTAGTCTGGGGACATAAATTACTGACATCGGACTAAATATACTAGTAAATTCTGTAACCATGGACTATTTATACTACATGTTGTAGTAATATTTGTCTGCCCCGATACATTTTACCATGACTAATTTATCTCTTACACTATCATGATGATGGGAATATTTTATGACATTGACTGCCTTCACATCGTAGGCTCATGTTGGGCATTAAATAAGGCAAAAAAAAAACAATGTTTGTTCAAGGTTTCCTTCTAAAAAAAAAACATAGGGTCGGTCTGTTGGAAATAATTCATTTCCCATTTTTTGGTCAAAATCTGGAAAATTCACTGAATCCAGTTCCGTTATTCACATATACCAACAGGGGACTACCCCATTTGTAGTTGGTCAATGAATGGATTTGTGATTTTAAAACCTTTTGAGTCATTTCTGTCCAGTATTTTGATGAAATAAAATAGCAGTTGCAACAACTAATATCTTCATAAAACGGTTTTGAAGAAATCTTCATAAAAACGTTCAGATCGGCGCTCAAAATTAGGGTCTGTAAACACATACATTTTTTTGGGGGCCTAAGTTGGAAATTAAGGCATTTGGATTAGCTGTCTTTGTGATGATTTGTGAAGAATAAGTTAATCATGCTATTATTTCTATAGATACATATTTATTGTAATGAGTCATTTGAAAGGTGAGATATTAATTTTTGAATGGCTATACAAATGATGTAAACATACCTGGAAATAATATATCCATGAACTGGCAATATGCAGCACCTGAAATATATAGATGAACTCAGATATGAATCAATATATAAGAAAAAGTCTTAAGTAATAATTATAAAAATAAAAGAAGTATGTGTCTGAGGACACGAATGCCCCAGCTGAATCTTTGCAATTTTCCAAGTTAAAAATGGGCATAACTCTAGAACGGTAAGTGACTCACTGCCCAAATTCGAACTCTATCTTATCTGCTAGTTGTGGTTCTTAGCATTGTATATGAGTTTCATAAAATTTGCATGAGGCAAACTTAAGTTAGAGTGTTGAAATGAAAATGGGACGGACGGAAGGACGGTCAAGAGTGACACTTAATGCCCCAATTGCCTACGTCAGGGGGCATAAAAATTATTAAAATGAGTTTAAGACCCAACACACCAAGTTGCACAGAATGCTTTTTTTTAACAATGGAGGGTTGTCTATAATGCAGGGTGTTTGTACACATCTGCTCTGAAAGGATAAGCAGTTTCTACTCCACTAGTGACACTAGCTGTTAAAAGGTTTCACTGGGTGCACCAATCAGCATCACAATACAACTGACATGTAAAAAGTTAAGAAATTTAATTTCAAAATTAAGAGTAGACTTGGTATTGTTTTTACACAGGAATGTTGCTGACCCTCAAAACTATGTTATAGTCATTTGCTTGGTTGAACTGTAAGTTGTATGTTCTTGTATGATCTTTTTGATTTTAACTACATGTAAGTTTGTTTCAAAAGATATTTTAAGGGGGTGAGAAGTAACAATAATAGTTTTAACCGTGCATGCTATGCTTTGTCAAAATTTATATCTTAATGTTTATATTTTTTTCCTTTAGAGAATCTGGTGTTAAAGGCAGATTTGTATTTGTTTCTTTTAAATTTTTTCACAACTTTCATTTTTACATACATTGTATATACATGTACTGCTTCTGGTGATTTAGAGCCTTGACATATATTGCAATAAAATGCTTCGCTGAGCGCAGCCTGATACGACCGCAGAGGTCGAACCCTGAACAGTTGGGGCAAATTTGGACACAATATTCAAGCTTGATACTATCTGAATTTGGATTGTGATCAAATTTATGACATAATATAGGTTTCTGACACAAAATAAATGTGGTCAAAGTTCTTACAAATCTAATGCGCAATACTGTGCAATTGAAGATTTCTTCTTGAAACTTTTCAAAAATTTGAAATTTTGAAAAAAAAAATATGAACCCTTTAAAAAACTAGAACAAGAGTGCACACGCTGAAATGTCTCGCCTTCTTTACTAATCATTGATATTATGTTGATAGTCCTAAATATAAAGCTTTATTACAACTGTCACATAAACTTAACATTAACCAAGTAAACTAAACATTGACTAATGAACCATGAAAATGAGGTCAAGGTCAGATGAACCATGCTAGGCAGGCATGTACAGCTAACAATTCTTCCATACAACAAATATAGTTGACCTATTGCTTATAGTTTAAGAAAAACAGACGAAAACACAAAAACTTAACACTGAGCAATGAACCTTGAAAATGAGGTCAAGGTCAAATAAAACCTGCGTGACTGACATATAGATCATAAAATATTTCCATACACCAAATATAGTTGAACTATTGCATATAGTATTAGAATAAAATGCTTCGCTGGGGCGCAGCTTGATACGACCGCAGAGGTCGAACCCTGAACAGTTGGGGCAAGTATGGACACAACATTCAAGCTTGATACAGCTCTGAATTTGGATTGTTATTAAATATTTGACACAGCATAGGTTTCTGACACAGAAAGAATGTGGTCTAAGAACTTGAATTTTTTTAATTTACCTATTATGGTCCAATGTCCAAAATCAAAATACATGGTTAGATTCAGCATATCAAAGAACCCCATATATTCAATTTTTGTTAAAATCATCCAAAGTTTAATTTTGGACCCCAACTTGGACAAACTTGAAAACTGGGCCCACAATCAAAAATCTAAACACATGTTTAGATTCAGCATATCAAAGAACCCCAAGAATTCAATTTTTGCTAAAATCAAACTAAGTTTAATTTTGGACCCTTTGGACCTTAATGTAGACCAATTTAAAAAACGGGACTTAAAATTAAAAATCTAAATACACGGTTAGATTTGGAATATCAAAGAACCCCAATAATTCAATTTTTGATGAAATCAAACAAAGTTTAATTTTGGACCCTTTTGACCTCAATATGAACAAATTTGATAGGGGGCCCACAAATAAAAATTCTAAATGCATGGTTAGATTCAGCATATCAAAGAACCCCATATATTCAATTTTTGTTGAAATCAAAAAAAGTTTAATTTTGGACCCCAACTTGGACCAACTTGAAAACTGGGCCCATAATCAAAAATCTAAACACATGTTTAGATTCAGCATATCAAAGAACCCCAAGAATTCAATTTTTGTTAAAATCAAACTAAGTTTAATTTTGGACCCTTTGGACCTCAATGAAGACCAATTTAAAAAACAGGACCCAAATTAAAAATCTAAAAACACGGTTAGATTTGGCATATCAAAGAACCCCAAGAATTCAATTTTTGCTAAAATCAAACTAAGTTTAATTTTGGACCCTTTGGACCTTAATGTAGACCAATTTAAAAAACGGGACTTAAAATTAAAAATCTAAATACACGGTTAGATTTGGAATATCAAAGAACCCCAATAATTCAATTTTTGATGAAATCAAACAAAGTTTAATTTTGGACCCTTTTGACCTCAATATGAACAAATTTGATAGGGGGCCCACAAATAAAAATTCTAAATGCATGGTTAGATTCAGCATATCAAAGAACCCCATATATTCAATTTTTGTTGAAATCAAAAAAAGTTTAATATTGGACCCCAACTTGGACCAACTTGAAAACTGGGCCCATAATCAAAAATCTAAACACATGTTTAGATTCAGCATATCAAAGAACCCCAAGAATTCAATTTTTGTTAAAATCAAACTAAGTTTAATTTTGGACCCTTTGGACCTCAATGAAGACCAATTTAAAAAACAGGACCCAAATTAAAAATCTAAAAACACGGTTAGATTTGGCATATCAAAGAACCCCAATAATTCAATTTTCGATGAAATCAAACAAAGTTTAATTTTGGACCCTTTTGACCTCAATATGAACCAATTTGATAGCGGGGCCTACAAATAAAAAATCTAAATACATGGTTAGATTCAGCATATCAAAGAACCTCATATATTCAATTTTTGTTGAAATCAAACAAAGTTTAATTTTGGACCCCAATTTGGACCAACTTGAAAACTGGGCCCATAATCAAAAATCTAAATACATGTTTAGATTCAGCATATCAAAGAACCCCATATATTCAATTTTTGTTGAAATCAAACAAAGTTTAAATACTGGACCCTATCTTGGACCAACTTGAAAACTGGGCCCATAATCAAAAATCTAAACACATGTTTAGATTCAGCAAATCAAAGAACCCCAAGAATTCAATTTTTGTTAAAATCAAACTAAGTTTAATTTTGGACCCTTTGGACCTCAATGTAGACCAATTTAAAAAACAGGACCCAAAATTAAAAACCTAAATACACGGTTAGATTTGGAATATCAAAGAACCCCAATAATTCAATTTTAGATGAAATCAAACAAAGTTTAATTTTGGACCCTTTTGACCTCAATATGAACCAATTAGATAACGGGGTCCACAAATAAAAAATCTAAATGCATGGTTAGATTCAGCATATCAAAGAACCCCATATATTCAATTTTTGTTGAAATCAAACAAAGTTTAATTTTGGACCCCAATTTGGACCAACTTGAAAACTGGGCCAAAAATCAAAAATCTAAGTACATGTTTAGATTCAGCATATCAAAGAACCTCATATATTCAATTTTTGCTAAAATCAAACAAAGTTTAATTTTGGACCCTTTGGACATTAATGTAGACCAATTTGAAAACTGGACCCAAAATTAAAAATCTAAATACACTGTTAGATTTGGCATAACAAATAAATAAATGTGGTCAAAGATTTTACAAATCTAATGCGCCATACTGTGCAATTAAAGATTACTTCTTGAAATTTTTCAATATTTGAAATTTGAAAAAAAAAAAATATTTGAAGAATAATTCTTTTTAATTTCTGAAATCTGAAATGAGAAAAAATTGGCCCCCCACAATTTCTTTTTATTCCCCCCCCCCTTTTTCCCCCAAAAAAATTCTTTCCCTCAAGATATGGTCATAATCTCAATTCAAATTTCCAATGGAGTTGGCAACCATAATTACCCATTTAAATTTACCATAGTGCTAACTTAATCTATTTTATAATAGAATTAATAAAAATATAGTGTCAAATCTTTCATATGGATTTTTTTGTAAAAAAAAAAGATGAAAACATTTGCAGATATTTTTACTGGTCTTCCTTTATAAATATGCATTTCTTTAAACATAATTTAAAAGCAGTGTAAGGGAAGTAACCAAAACGTTGTATTTGGATTACCTCCCTTACACTGTTTTAGATTATCTTTATTGTTCATTAACCATTACTTTATACATAATTTAAAAGCAGTGTAAGGGAGATAATTTTAATGATGTATTTGATTTATCTCCCTTACACTGCTTTAAATTATGTTTTGTACTAAAGTATTTGTCCATTAACCAGGACAACCTTGTTTTCCCCCTTTTTTGCCCCTAATTCCTAAACGGTTTGAGCCATAACCCCCCAAAGCAAATCCTAACCATCCCTTTGTGGTATGGAAACTTGTAGTATAATTTCAGAGAGATCCATACACCGTTCCACAGTTATTGTCTGGAAACTAGAAAATGCTCATTTTTGGCCCCTTTTTGGCCCCTAATTCCTTAACTGTTGGTACCATAACCCCCAAAATCAATCCCAACCTTCCTTTTGTGGTATTTAACCTTATGGTCAAATTTCAAAAAGATCCATTCACTTAAACTAAAGTTAGAGTGCGAAAACCAATATGTATTCGGACGACGACGCCGGACGACGACGACGACGACGACGCCAACGTCATACCAATATACGACCACAAAATTTTTTTGCGGTCGTATAAAAAAAGACCAAAACTCAAAAACTTAACTTTGACCACTGAACCATGAAAATGAGGTCAAGGTAAGATGACACCTGCCAGCTAGACATGTACACCTTACAATCATTCCATACACCAAATATAGCTGACCTATTGCATGCAGTATTAGAAAGAAAGACCAAAACTCAAAAACTTAACTTTGACCACTGAACCATGAAAATGAGGTCAAGGTCAGATGACACCTGCCAGCTAGACATGTACACCTTACAATCATTCCATACACCAAATATAGTAGACCTATTGCATACAGTATAAGAAAAACAGACCAAAACACAAAAACTTAACTATAACCACTGAACCATGAAAATGAGGTCAAGGTCAGATGACACCTGCCAGTTGGACATGTACACCTTACAGTCCTTCCATACACCGAATATACTAGACCTATTGCTTATAGTATCTGAGATATGGACTTGACCACCAAAACTTAACCTTGTTCACTGATCCATGAAATGAGGTCGAGGTCAAGTGAAAACTGTCTGACGGGCATGAGGACCTTGCAAGGTACGCACATACCAAATATAGTTATCCTATTACTTATAATAAGAGAGAATTTAACATTACAAAAAATCTGAACTTTTTTTTCAAGTAGTCACTGAACCATGAAAATGAGGTCAAGGACATTGGACATGTGACTGACGGAAACTTCGTAACATGAGGCATCCATATACAAAGTATGAAGCATCCAGGTCTTCCATCTTCTAAAATATAAAGCTTTTAAGAAGTTAGCTAACGCCGCCGCCGCCGCCGCCGGATCGCTATCCCTATGTCGAGCTTTCTGCGACAAAAGTCGCAGGCTCGACAAAAAAATGAAAACCCCCCTTCCCCCCAAACTTTTTGAATCCCCCTTTTAGCATTGACCATCAAACTCAGTTGCAGTCTTTCCTTTGAAGTATGGAACCTTGTAGTACAATTTTAGAGAGATCCATACACTTAATCACAAGTTACTGTCTGGAAACTAGAAAAATGTATTTTTTTAACCATAAAAGCCCATTTTAAATACATCATAAAAGTATTAAAATAGAAAATGACATCATAGTCATGGTTAAAATTAAAAAACCTTCATCAGCAACTTTTAATAGTAATATCTAAAAATAAAATTCGTTCAGCAGCATTTAAAAGTAACTTCTAAAAATAAATTTCCAATGGAATTTATTAACAATAAAGTTATTGGCAAATTTCCAATATACATAATTTAAAAGCAGTGTAGGTGAGATATTCAAATGAGTTTGAATAACCAACCTTACACTGCTTTTAAATTATGTTTTGTACTTAAGTAATTGTGTTTTAACCTGGAAACCCTTGTTTTTCCCCCTTTTTTTGCCACTTATTCCTTAAAGGTTTGAGCCATAACCCCCCAAAGCCAATTCTTACTTTCCAATGGAGTTTATTATACTAAAATTATTGGCAAATTTCCAATGGAATTTATTAACAATAAAGTTTTTGGCAAATTTCCAATATACATAATTTAAAAGCAGTGTAGGTGAGATATTCAAATGAGTTTGAATTACCAACCTTACACTGCTTTTAAATTATGTCTTGAACTTAAGTAATTGTCCATTAACCTGGAAACCCTTGTTTTTCCCCCTTTTTTGCCCCTTATTCCTTAACAGTTTGAGCCATAACCCCCCAAAGCCAATTCTTACCATCCCTTTGTGGTATGGAAACTTGTGGTATAATTTCAGAGAGATCCATACACCATTCCACAAGTTATTGTCTGAAAACTAGAAAAATGCTTATTTGGGCCCTTTTTTGGCCCCACATTCCTGTTGGGACCAAAACTCTCAGCATATCAAAGAACCCTCATAATTCGATTTTTAATGAAATCAAACAAAGTTTAATTTTGGACCCTATGGACCTCAATGTGGATAAATTTAAAAACAAGACCCAAAATCCAAAAATCTAAATACACGGTTAAATTCAGCATATCAAAGAACCCAATATATTCAATTTTTGTTGAAATCAAACAAAGTGTAATTTTGGACCCCGATTTGGACCAACTTGAAATCTGGGCCCGTAATCAAAAATCTAAATACATGTTTAGATTCAGCATATCAAAGAACCCCAAGAATTCAAATTTTGTTAAAATCAAAATAAGTTTAATTTTGGACCCTTTGGACCTTAATGTAGACCAATTTGAAAACAGGACCAAAAATTAAGAATCTAAATACACGGTTAGATTCAGCATATCAAAGAACCCCAATATTTCAATTTTTGATGAAATCAAACCATATCATTATTATTTGCTTTTATTTATAAACCAGAAATAACCAACTTAAAATGGAAAATTTTTAAGAAAAAAAAAAGGAAAAAAAGGAACCCCCCCCCCCCCCCAAATTTTTTGAACTCCCTTATGATTCATCACCCCAAAACTCAATCCCAGCCTTCCCTTTGTGGTATGGTACCTTGCAGTACAATTTCAGAGAGATATATACACTTGAACACAAGTTATTGTCTGGAAACTAGAAAAATGCTTGTTTTTTGGCCCCTTTTTTGCCCCAAATTCCTAAATGTTTAGGGCAATTACCCCCAAACTCAAACCCAGCTTTCCCTTTGTGATATGGAACCTTGTAGTACAATTTCATAAAGATCCATACACTTACACACAAGTTATTGTCCTGAAACTAGAAAAATGCTTGTTTTTTGCCCCTTTTTTGCACCTAAATTGGCTAATTCCTAAAATTTTGAGGCAATTACCCCCAAAATCAATCCCAGCCTTCCCTTTGTGGTATGGTACCTTGCAGTACAATTTCAGAGAGATCGATCCTTACACTTGAACACAAGTTATTGTCTGGAAACTAGAAAAATGCTTATTTTTGGCCCCTTATTCCTAAACGTTTTGGGCAATTACCCCCAAACTCAATTCCAGCTTTCCCTTTGTGATATGGAACCTTGTAGTACAATTTTAGAAAGATCCATACACTTATACACAAGTTATTGTCATGAAACTAGAAAAATGCTTGTTTTTTGCCCCCTAATTCCTAAAATTTTGAGGCAATTACCCCCAAAATCAATCCCAGCATTCCCTTTGTGATATGGAACCTTGTGGTACAATGTCAGAGAGATCCATACACTAACACACAAGTTATTGTCTGGAAGTTACAAAAATGCTTATTTTTGGCCCCTAATTCCTTAACTGTTGGTACCATAACCCTTAAAATCAATCCCAACCTTCCTTTTGTGGTATTGAACCTTATGGTAAAATCTCATAGAGATCCATTCACTTAAACTAAAGTTGTTGTGCGAAAACCAATGTGTCCTCGGTCGTATAAAAACACTATTCTCTTGTTGAAGACCATAAAATAGATCACCTTTAGATGTATTTTGATTTTTTGTTTCTTCTAGTTGGTGTCTAATTATAATTGATGTATATTACAGATTTCCTATTATTCATACTTAATTTATGTATTTGAACTCCTTAATGCTTCAACATATCTGATGCAAACATATCAGATTTTTTCTTCTGAAATATTTAACTTCTATATAATACTTTGGATTCAAATTCATAAACTAGTAAGGCGTTTGTCTATGGTAATGGGTCTGATACATGGAACCTACAGAATGCTAGAAATTTCCAAATCATTCACACTTTTGGAAGAGGCCCTTGGGTCAACCATTAAGAGTGAGTCCCCCTAGCAAACATACATGCCACATTGGCTCTCAGTGACACATGCTTGAAGACTTTCCGTTCTGGGCAACTATGCAACACTTTTTAGTATACTATTAAATAGTAAAATTTGTATTACAAGAATATGTGTCAATAGGACACTATGCCCTGCTAGCACTAACACATTTCAATGTTCAGTAAAATTGGATCAAAACCCTAATTTGGAATTTATTTTAAAAAGTTCACATCATTATGTAAATGAACATGTAATAAGTTTGATCTGACCACAACTCCTAAGAAAACTCCGTTAAACCAAAACTTTAACCTGATACATTTACATGTTTAGTGAACTGTAAAATCTGTGTCAAAACCATCATTTGCCCCAGAATATATTTAAATTTTGTTAAAAAAGTTCACATTAAAATGAACATATTCACTATTTTCAAGTTGATGCGACCAAACTTCATGGTAAACTAATTTAAAACCAAATCTTCAACCTGATACAGTAGAGACAGACTAACTAAGCAATGGGTGCTCAGGCATGTTGCCCAAACCGTCGTAGACAGGACATAATAAAAAATGTACCTGTACATAATTCTTCTATTTTACTGTAATTTGTCTGTATACTATCATTTAACCAAGCTAAAATATCATGTCTACTGAGATTATCTGAAGTCTGATTTGTACTGTATACATTCACTGCCATGCTGATCTGATAACTGAAACAGAAAGAAACAGCTTTTTAAAACACAGTTGTACTGATATTTGACTCTAGTGGGTCTCTCCTTTTGCTATCTATTTACATGTGTTGACTCTTGTAGGTCTGTCTTTTTGCTATCAACAAATGTATTTACATATTACATGTATTGACTCTTATGGGTCTATTTTTCAGCTATCTATTTATTTGTGTTGACTATTGTGGGTCTATCTGTCTGCCATCTATTTACATGTGTTGACTATTGTGGGTCTATCTTTCTGCTATCTATTTACATGTGTTGACTATTGTGGGTCTATCTTTTTGCTATCTATTTACATGTGTCGACTATTGTTGATATATCTTTTTTGCTATCTACAAATTTGTTGACTCTTGTGGGTCTATCTTTTTGCTATCTATTTACATGTATTGACTCTTGTGGGTCTTTCCTTTTGCTATCTATTTACATGCTTGTGGGTCTATCTTTTTATTGACTCTTGTGGGTCTTTCTTTTTGCTATCTATTTACATGTATTGACTCTTGTGGGTCTATCTTTTAGCTATCTATTTACATGTACATGTATCTAAAATAAATGTGCACAAAAGGAGCCCAGCTCAATCATCTGGCTTCTGTGCATCATAAAGACTCAACAGAAAGTCTATCAATATTGCATCTGTGTCTATAAAACAGACTCTAAAATCTTAACTGACATATATACATTTACATGTTTGTTGAATAAAAAGATTTTTTTCTGTGATACAGGGATGACCCTATTATAGTATTTGGGGCTGCCTGATGGTGGCCCAATATTCTCCTATGCAAAATATTTATTGTTAATGTTTTAAACCACATTCATCATGAAGTCAAGAAGCTGTTCCTCATCAAGTTGATCGTTTGTATTGCCATCAAATTGAGGCCTTCGTTCTCATTGGCCACCATTCCATCATGCATGCACAACTCGAGGCATATATGAGCCGAGGAGGGAGGGAAAAGATTGACAAATATACGGATCATTTACATAGAGATACTTATTTCATAATAATTTATCTAAGAAATGCCATTTCAAAAAACCCTTCTTGATAAACTGACAATAACTGACAACATGGACAAATTTGTTAAAAGTTTATTTTCATTTTCTCTTTCAAGCTTTTATGTTTTTCCATCTTAGGGAAATACACATCCGATGTCAAATTCTAAAGTTAGAACAACGAAAATAGACCTCCTCTTTCCATTGGTCGGTGGGAATAACACGTGCGCCTGAGTGGTGTCCCGATTGATAACGATAATGACGAAGCAACGCCGCGGCCGCCTGATTGGCCAATATTTTTAAACGTGATCTATTTTTGGTAAAAAGGGGAATTCAGTGCGAACAAATGATGACATATACGCATTGAAGGGGGTAAAGACCACTTTACTCGACCGTGCGGTGTTATCACTGAGTAATCTATGGACAAAACAACAGACACTATTGATTTTGTGAAATTTTAATCATAAACACTTTTTTTTCACTTGCCCGATCGGACAACCAAGATGATGTTTTTACTTGTCCGAATACAGCATTAACTTGCCTCTGGCAATCGGACAACCGTAAGTGTCGGACCCTGGACTCTTATGGTATCAATGGTATCTCCAATGTAAAATGGTTGGATGTTTTATTATGCTGGCTATTAAAATAATTTTTTTTTTTTATTGAATAGCACTTTCAACCATATGGGCCAATAGCTTACAAACATACATATATCCTCGTCTCATGGGTTTTCATGCTATTAAGAATGCATTGTGACATCACGATTTCCATTGAAAAAGCATGCATACTACGAATTCATATAACGTACAAAAACATATGATCTGACCAAATCAAACAATGAAAGAGAGAGATTCAATATTTTTAAGGACTCATTCCCCTTAGTCTCAGTGTTTCTTTTAAAAAAGAGCCTTATTTGTTGGTACCCTGTTTTGTAAAAATATTTCACAACGTCATATTATTTGGACTAAAAATTCCTCCAGACTCCAATCCAAGGATTTAAAGTCATTGCCACTTCAAAGGTGAAAAGAACATTTTTTTTAACAATTATCTGTTAAGCCAGCGCGGTTCTGTGCCCATTTCTGCGAGTCCAAATTACCGATAAATACCACAAGAGCCATTAGCGCTACAATTGCGCAGCTACTGCAACTGCACCTATAATTCATATGGATGATTCATGCATTTCCAGACATGCAATCTTCTGAAAATAATCAAATCCATGCCGTTTATTCTAAGATCAGAATAGATATTCGAAAGGAAATCATTAACGCATCTAAGAAATGAAATAAATGTTACACCCAATTCTGAATATCTGATTAATCATCCAATGCTTAGAAAACATGGTTTAACTTTTACCGTCTAATGCTTCTTTACGATGTTTTCGTATATTTTCTGTCTGTGAGTCCTATGATATGTCTCCTTACCGCACTACACTGAGAATACTACAGTACACCGTAAATTTATTTTTGAGCTGTATCAAAAATTATTAGTCTTTTACTGCTTTAGATTAGTGCATAATATTTTGGTGCTTAAGCTTATTGCATAATATTTTGGTGCTTTAGCTTAGTGCATAATACTTTGGTGCTTTAGCTTAAGTGCAAGAATATATATGATCATATCAGAGACGTATATGTAACAAAAAATTTGTTCCGGTGTGACATTTGTTCCGCCGGAACAAATATCATAGAAAATATGTTCCACCGGACTTTATATCACAGAAAATATGTTCCAGCACTGTAAAATTTGTTCCGGAACTAATTTTATGACCAAATGTGAAATAAGTTCCGGAACAAAAATCATAGCTCCATGAATTTTGTTCCAATTAATATTAAGAGTTTTAAAAAGTTAAATAAGTTCCTGTGATATTTGTTTTAAACGAACGTGTACATATTTCATAGAAATCAATGAATAAGTTCTGCTCACACCTATTTTCACAGAAAGCTGGGAACAGTATATCTAACTGTCAATATATATGTTCCTGCAGAAAGTAAGTACCTTTGCAACAAATTGCAAGCGAAATATTTTCTTGTTACATTTAAATTATAATGCAAGCTGAGTGCTGTACTGAGCGTGCTTGCATGGAATAAATTTGCAATTGAAGGCATGACTGTAACTAAAGGTTGAAGTTAGAAATAAAAGCGATGGTAATGTATCATAATTTGTATTTATGTTTTATGTGGTATTCCTCCTTGGTTTTTGTTAACTGTCATGGCCGCGTGTTCTAGTCATACATGTACTTAGGTCATAGCACAGTTTCAAAAGAGTGTGTCTTTTGTTTCTACATGTATTTTGATATAACTGATCAGTCACTTTGTCCTTTTCAAATAAGTACATATGTTCTTCTCAGTGGCGAATCCAGAACTTTTCATAAGGGGGGGGGGGGGGGGGGGGGGGTGGCGCTGACTGACCTAAGGGGGGGCCTGCTCTAGTTATGCTTCAGTGATTCCCTATATAATCAACCAAATTTTTCCAACGAAAGGGGGGCCCGGGCCCCCCAGCCCTCCCCCCCCCCCCCCTGGATCCGCCTATGCTTCTTTAACTATACTTTTTTTCTGAATGATTGGTTTTTCTTATTCTACTCTTTTCTGGCTGAAAAGTGTCATTTTGATATTTTATACAGAGTATATAATTACACCGGTAAACATTTGCTATACTCCACAGGATCCGAATTGGATGATTTACACTTTTTACTTTTTTTATTATTGATATAATACTTATTTTTATAATGCACTTGAATGATAACTTTAAACTCACTGATGACAATGCTCAGTATATAAGATAACTTGTTTAACCAGTGGAACATATTTCACAGACAAGGAACTTATTTCACCAGGTGAGGAACAAATCTCACAAACCCAGAACTTATTTCACCAGATAAGGAACAAATCTCATAAACCCGGAACTTATTTCACCAGGTAAGGAACAAATTTCACCAACCCGGTACTTATTTCACCAGGTAAAGTGTGGAACTTATTTTATAGAGATGGAACAAATTATATAGAAATCATCTGTGAAAAAAGTTCTCCCAGAACATATTTCCTGTGGTATTAGTTCCACTGGAACTTTTTTCACAGGAACAAATTTGGCTCACATATACATGTATCAGAGTGGATTAATAATCTTATATTCTTATCTTTCAAAAATAAACAAATCATCGTAATAGATTTTCATGAACCTGATGATGTTTAAAATACTTTTTACAATAAATAGTTCAAGTTTGCAGTTAACTATTCTCACGATAGAAATCCTTGATCATATATATAATCTTGACAGTATGTCTAACAATATATATGTTCCTGATATGATATTGTTCCAGTGCAAAGTTTACTACATATATAAGTGCTCAGTTATTTTGATCTCTTTAAAATGCTTAAAAAGAGCTTATGTTTGTAGCGGTTATATATAATATATACCAATTCTAAATAAAGCTTTGAAAATGTTGTCAAACCATGGATGTACAATATGTTATTTTCAAGACTGCTTGACAACGAAATCGTATATTCCCTGGGACTATATAGTATACTAGTCCCAGATATTCCTAACAAAAATCGGCACATCGTCCCTCTCAGTCTGCCTAAACAGATAATTTTACTGTGTGAACCTGAGACATATACAATCTGCTGTAACTGCACTTAATTATTGAATAATTTCGCAGAGGTATGATAACACCATTTTATTTTATAAGTATACCCTTCGCTACGAAGTAGAGTAGCCGTGGGGTACGTCCGTCCGTCAGTCCAATCGATGATTTTCGTTTCCGGATTCAACTCCGATACGTTCAATATTGTATATGATCTCATTACAACCATACTTGCCCATACTGAATATATGGTCACATGTAATGAAAGCCAGATCCCTATTGATTTTTATGTCACCAGATTAAAGGTCATTTCATATTTACTATAAATACACTAAAATGTATCATGCAGGCAAAGGTTGTTTACTTATGCTAAATCTAAAACTAGTACTATACATGTGCCGGGGATTGTGACCTTACTAACTAAGCATCTAAATCCTGGTCAGTGAGACAGCAATCACGGATTCAATGAAACTACGATAAGTAATAAACAGTATTAGTTTAGACAAATGTTCCAAATTTGGAACAATTCAAATTTTTAGTTATTTTTTGAAAGGATTACTATTATTTATTGTTTTTAGGAAGATATTTTTTATATAAGGCTATTGACAACAGGACAATTGATTGAAAAGAGCGTGGAAACATTTTTGTTTTGTCATTATTTTTCTAGTTTATTAGATTAACAATCCTGAAAATATGCAAATTGTTTTCTAAAGAAAATCCCGAATATTTTTACGAGTTTAATGCATCCGAGCTGCCATCAATTGTATACACGTTATTGTGACTCCTGTCGGTGAGACGGAACAACAATCTGACGATAAAAATTTAAAGGACAATACACAATTATATATTTGAAGATTTATTCTTCGAAATCTCAAGTAATATCTATGAATGCTTCAAGAGTGCTAGTGTATCCGACAAAACAAGGTTCGATTTGCTTATACGAAACGATACATTTTTGATAAATTACACGTACAGTGAATATTTACATGAACACTTTGTCTAGATTTGTGTTATGAAGATATCGATTTTCGCCAGTTAAGTTAGTAGTGCAATAAACAATAAAGACAGATCTGCTGATTTATGTTTTTACTACGTCCTTACGCTGGATGCTTAGAATAGTTTCCATATATATGTATATGCATTTAATTGTCTGTAACATTGTGTTGCCACAAATGGAGAATGATTGCTACAATAAACTGCATATAGAGAATTAAATCACATATAATATAACTGTTTGACCCATAGTCATCACTGGTGGGAAATTGTTTTCCTTTTTTTATGTGTCTCTTACTGGCCAAATCGACACCTGGCCGTTTATTGCACATGCTTATAATCATATACAAGTTTAATGTCAGATGTGTGTTCATCTCTGCAAATCATTCACAATCTGGCTAGACGTGATTACCTTGTATACTGTTGTTGTCGCTTACCGATTTTTGAGTGACCGTATATTTGATGTCAAATTTGTGTTCATCTCAGCGAATCAAGTTGGCTAGAAATGGATCAATTTAGATGATCCATTTCTATTATGTTGTAGTCTCTAAATTGATCCATTTCTAGCCAGCTTGATTCACTTGTCAACTTTTGAGAGACCTTATATATGATGTCAGATTTGTGTTCGTCTCATTCATGCAGTCACTCACGTTTTGTCTAGACGTGGAACAATTTAGAGACTACCACTGTTGTTGTCCCTTGTAAGTCTTTGGAGACTGAATAATGACCACTACTCGTACTGTAGCATGTTTAGTTTGGTTAACAAGGACTTTGAATTATTATCTCTATTGATGTTAACCGTTACATCATCTCATGCGTATATGTTCTTAAGGTAGTATAGGAGTAAAAACGAAAAAGGACATATTTGTTTCTTACTTTGTCAAAATGTAGTATGTATGAAGATATGTTAAAAAATATGATAAAAATGATAGGTATAAATCGAGCAGGTTGTGAAAAATGACACATTTTGTCTGTATTAGTCTGTATTATATAAAGACAAAAGGCATCATTATGTGAATAGAAGGTAAACTAGATGATCAAATTTTGCAGACAAACATATTAGATGATATAGTTATTATAAAATGCTAGCTGTAATAATAGCAAAAGAAAATATGTGGTTTCCGTTTTTTCCTACTATAACATAAAATAGAAACATTTCCGGAAGATTACCTTATAAATTACACAATTTCTGAGTAACCTCCCCTTAAAGGGGCATTAGCTGTCAAATTCATGTTCACCGATTTGACTCAAATTCTCATATTTGATTTACAACATACTAAAACGTATATCCAAATTATAAAAAGTCTAGAATAAACAATTTACAATGCATGGGCTCGATAATATGTATCATCATTTCGTGTGTATTTTAGTCTAGACGCCATCTAATTAACCATCGAGGTGACATCCGAAGGATGCCGACGGTCATATAATCCGATATAAACATAACTTTTATTAAATATAGATAGAAATAGATAGCGAACTCGTGCAATTGATTCTAGGTCTGTTTGATTTCATATTTTAGGTTAAAAATATGTTAATCATCGTTTTTATCTGTATAAGAATGAGTTTTTGTAGATCGAATCAGTCAATCAAATGGTTTACCCTTGTTCCACTTTCTTTGTTGACATTCTTTTCCTTTTAATAACCGAACACGCCTAATTCATGCGTAAATTGAAGGTCACATGAATATGGATTCATTGAGGTCGAATTATTCACTTGCAAGTGAATAATGCATCAGCGATGTTTCTTAATTTATTTTGACAAAATTGAACCAAACTGGCTGCCAAAAGCGAACAATTATTCTCTATTTCACTTTCATTAATGATTGAACAAAAAAAATCATAATTTTTTGTTTTGCATATC